TACAAGCCCTAAAAGGAAATGATAATGGATAAAATGGAATGAGCAAAGCCTCAGGCAAAAACCAAAGACCTTTTCTCCTTTTTCTACATGGTATTGAGAATTATCCTGTTTTTTTTTTTTTTTTTTACCAACATTTCTGTGTGGAAACCAAGTGTAATTTTTTTGTTGCTGGAAACACAGCAAGAGTGTTTAGCTCTTATCTAGTGGGAACTTCTACCTGAGCAAAAGGTTCACTCCTTGGATTGATTCAGCTCATCCTGCATGCTCTGACCATCTATAAGACTGTACCATGGAAGCCCACTGTGCCCTAATCCTTTTGTCCCTTTGTCTGGATTGCCGATAAGATTTATTTGTGAAAAGTACCATGTCTTAATGGAAAGAGCAATTGGCTTGAAGTCAGAGGACTTAGAGTTCAGTCTCAGCTCTGTGGCTTATTAATTGTACAAACCTTGGGCAAGAAACTTAGTCTGTCAAAGCATGATGTGTCATCCATAATATTAGCATAGTAGCACCCATTTTATAGAATTGTTGTAAAGATGGTATGTGATATGTGATAGTCTTTGGCACAGAATGAATGCATAACAGGTTAATTTAATCTGGACTCTCAGGCTGACATTTTCTTCTCTTTTTCATTGTAAATGAATAATTTAAAATGATGTTCATAGATACTCAACATTTTTCCTTGATGTAATATTTCTTTTTTCATTGTTTTATTTAGAACTTTTCAAATTAATAAAGGAAAAAAGACTGAGGAACTGTTACAAACTGGAAGAGATAAAGGAGAAATAACAATTATATACAGTGTGGGATCCTAAAGAGTCTCCTAGAATAGAAAAAGACATTAGTGTAAAATTGGTGAGGTTTGAATAAAATCTGCAGTTGATATAATGTACTAATGTTAACTTCTTATTCTTGATAATTGTACTATGGTTGTGTAAGATGTTAACGTTAGAAGTTAGATGAGAGATGTAAGGGAACTCTTCGAACTAATTTTGTAACTTTTCTGAAAGTTTAAAATAGTTCAAAGTAAAAAGTTTTAAAAAATAAAAAAAATTATTTAGAATTTATCATTCCCATTTCTCCTTACCTTTTTGAATCAAATCTTTACAACTCTTCCCCAATGCTTCCCATTCAATTTTTGGTGTAGGATTCTTACCTTCTCCACACACAATAGTTAGCATGTCCTGTTGGGACTTCAGTTTCTAACATACATATTCATTACTATATATCATTCCTTTTTCCAGTATTTTGCCAACGTCTTTGTTTCTAGGTAAATTTATTGTGGTTGCACTTACTCAAGCTAGTTGACATCTTAGCTCTCTTCTTTTTGAGTTGTTGCTAAGCTGTGGGGCCCACCGTTAAGAAACCCACCATTCCAGATTACTGTGGGTAGTGTCAAGGGGAACAGACCAAAGGCAAGGCTATGATGCCTGCCCAATTGTTCTGTCTTGAATTTGTATCAATAGTAAAGAATATAAATGTTCTTCAATCTCTGGGCCCTAAAGATTTCTAGAGGATCCGTCAGTGGCTCTGGTAGCCAATTTAAATCATTCTTTGTCTTCTTCTAAGGAACTCTGTAATCCCAGAGTGATTTAAATAATATCTTTAAACTGTATGGAAGGTAGTAGTAGCTCTTAAAACTTCAGGGATATTGTCTAACCCACCCTTGAGTTCCTTGGGGTAACTAGTGGTGACGGGTAGAAGTCTAGCTTCTCCATCTGATAGTTGCTGAAGGGTTGGGGGGGTTGCAGTATTTTTCTCTGGTGTTTTGCTGTAATAGGGCAATTATTGCCAAAATGTTTTCTGTCTTGCTAAGCAACTTCTTTCCTGATTCTGTGGCTAGAATGTGGTGTGTTTTCACCACCGCCTAGTGGTAATGAATCCTTCCATCTGCGCTGTGTAACAAATGCCATTTGAGGAGCCTAGACTTCCACCCCATCTGGCATGAATGAGGCAGTGACTCTCTTCCCTAAAAGACGTGGTTTTAGAGGAGGGCTGCTAAAACAGAAGATTTGAATAAGATCCAGATGCTCATAGTACCCATGAGTATATATGTCTGGTACTTAATTATATTGTTCTTTTGTCTTTAGACAGACTGAAATGGACAGGTATACCAGCTTCCAAGTAAAGGGACAAGAAGATGGCATTTAAATGCCATGTAACTATGACATACAGAGGGACCTGGGAGTTAGGAGACTTGAGTAGTATGTGCCAGCCCCTCAAGGGAAAAGCATGGATTGATGTGTGGCCCAGCATGAAGGAGAGCAACATGAATGGAGAATTCAGTGCAAGCTCTGTTTGGAGTATAGACAGGCAGTTGGCATTAAGGAGGTTGACCCAAGATATTAAGAGCCTAGGCATTGGCTTGCAATTCTTTTTATTTTTTATTTTTTATTTTCTTACTGAGAAAGATTCACCCTGAGCTAACATCTGTTGCCAATATTCCTTTTTTTGCCTGAAGAATATTCATCCTGAGCTAACATCTGTGACAATCTTCCTTTTTCCCCTGAGGAATATTCACCCTGAGCTAACATCTGTGACAACCTTCCTCTATTTTTGTTGTGGGTTGCTGCCACAGAATGGCTGCCAATGAGTGGTGTAGGTCCACGCTTGGGAATGAAACCCAGGCCACTGAAGCAAGATGTGCCAACCTTAACCACTAGGCCACAGGGCCGACCCTCTGGCTTGCCATTCTTGTAATGGGCTGTAGTACCTGCCAGGGGGACTAAAGTAATTTATGGGATCTAGGGAAGAAGCAGATATAATTCCTGGAAAAAGGAGCCCTCAGTTAGTAACACTGAATTGAATGAAATCAGATTGGAAGAAGATGAGATGGTAGACTAGGGCTTGGAAATGTTGAAGAGCAGTACTTGATCACGAACCCCTATAAGTTCATCTTAATTGTTTCTTATTACCACATTTGGCCTGGAAAGGGATGGAGTTTTGTAGCTGTAAGTGATATTTATGTGGTGGCTGAGTACATTTGAGACAGCAGATATATAATCCTGTATCCACTGGAGTAGTTTAGGGAATTACACTAAATATTCTCTTTCTGTTCCTCATTGAAAGTTCTGAAAATAGTACTGTCTCACAGAATTATTCTGAGTAGTATTGCTCAGACACCTGAGTCCTGTACTCCCTCCAATGCCTGGGAATGGCCAGACCAGCAGGGATGCTGAGTGGGACAGTGCAGACTTGGACTGGATTCCATGTGAGTTCTGGTCACAGGAAGTTAGGGTTGCCAGGTTAGCAAAGAAAAATAGATGCCCAGTTAAATTTGAATTATTTCTAATTGCTTTTGCATCTGTATACTAGGATAAAAGAAAAATATTGCATAGGAAATACTTACACAAATATTTGTAAAAATTACTTGTTTATCTGAAATAAATTGTAGGTATCTATATGACATACTTCTTTAATTATATTTCTATAATTATTTGGCTCTATTTAACATTCCTTTGTTTCGCATAATTCGCTTACAAAACTCCTTGCAGTTACAGTCTGTCTTCCATTTGCATTGTAATATAGCTTTTACCCTGATCACATCAAAACTACTTAATTCCTTTTTCCACTGAACGTTCGCTAGTGAGAAAAAATGCTCAAAATTTGCATTATGAGCCAGTATACTGAAAAAGTACTTGCATAAAGTTAACAACTCTGAGAACTGCTCTTCAAATTTGATTTGTCAAAGCAGGAAATACCACCTTTCGTGGCGTAAGTTGCTTTCCCATTGTTCAAGATTATGTTGCATCTTTTGCTCAATGACTTTTAAAAAATGTTGTCCACTGACAATAAAGAGTACTGTTAAGTTTTATCCCCTTATTTTTAACACTACGCATGATGATTTCACTTGTTTCCATGCTGGAAGAGTATTTCATAACATTCATGTAAAATGACTGAATTCTTCAAGGGTTGATATTGATTTCAAAAGATAGTCATGGCAAATGTCATAATAATTATCCACTTCAAGTTGGAACTTTTTTCCTCTTCATAAGTAAAGAGTGGTTTCCTGACATCATGGAAATTGTTGATGTGGTCTGCTCCGTGTTATGTCATGCCAATGTGGGCATGACTGAAGGACAGGTTGGATAAGTTTGTGATATTATGCATGTGTTTGAACAGAGGGCATGAGTGAAAAAAATTAAAATGACTGTGCATATGATTCTGGCTGTTTAGAGAGGGCAGTGAAACCAGAACGAAGCTTATGGGCTCAGAGACTCTAGGCTTTAGAGGTCAAAATAAAGATGATTAGCAGATAATTTATTAAGAACGAAGTATCCTTTTTACCTCTGTCACAGATTACTGCTACATCTTTCCACCAGATATAGTCAATCCTAATTTTTATGTCTTGACCATTTTACCTGAGTAGCAGTTCTAAATTTGCTCTTCCCAGAGGGTGTAAAGTCAAAAGAATTATTTCTGTTTGGGGTAACACTTTAATTAAATTGTATTAGCAACTTTGTTTTAATTGCTTCTAAGGGACTTCATCCCAAAAGTACTGGAAAGTTTCTAAATTCTATCCAATCCACATGGTGAATTTTAAATTGCTTTTGGGATTAGACATGTCCTCAAAGCAGCAAAGACTAAGTTGCTTTGGTGCTCCACTGGCTGGTCCTTTAAAGGATCCTGTGTTAGTGAAATGACTATAAAGAGCCCCAACTTTCTTCTTTACTGGAAGTCAGTTCTATTTTGCCACTAGTTAATTAATTCATTTTTTTCCAATAGCAATGGCAGCCACTTAGCTACTTGATATTAATGAAAACTGAGAAGCAGATAGTTCTTTTAGTTATCTTACTGAACTTATTGAGATGGAATTTATGAGACTAGAAATCTCATTTAAAAAGTAGGACTTCTGTTTCTGGCATTTTAATATAGAAATACTCTATATTCTAGTGAAGTGGGGATACAAATAATTATAACATATTGCTACTGCTTGAGAACATTTTGAATGGTCTGTTCCTCTTTATTATGGCTATTCTGAATATGCAGTGAGAGGAAAACCCGCAGAGCTGCTGTTAGAGCAGAAGAAGCTGATTTCTGTGCAGGGAGAAGATAATATGTATTTTCTCATACCTGGAAGTAAAAGAGAAAATCCCCTGTCACTAAAATTTCTTAGTTTGTAAATTTATTTATGGTTTGACTGTAGATTGAGACATGTACACCAGAGTTTTTCTGAGGTCAACTTGTCGTTCATTATGTGTATCAGGCAGGACAACAGAGTTACCTAGATATCTCAATTTGTACTGAAAAAGATAAAGAAGAAAACTTTTCTCTAAAAATGCTTTCTTTTTTCTTTTGCAAACATTATTAACGTGTGTAATTGATATTCTTAGGATATTGTAGGTATATATTTCCTCCCAAATTAGAAATAACCAAAAGTCCTTTTTCTAAAGGTGTATCTTTTCAGTCTAGCCACAAAACTCTATTGAAACTGAGGTTAAATAGAAATTCTATTGAAACTGAGGTTATCATAGAAGCAGGACTTACATGTAGCATTTTGTTTTAGTAACTGAAGAATAGTGATTTTTGTTAAGGTTAACATTTTAGTCATGTTCTTGATTGTTTGGCCAAAAGGTTATGATGACATTTCATTCAAAATAATTTCAAATTCATAATGTAAGTGAGATACGTAATTCTAAACCAGTTGTATGTGTTCTGGATCCCTTTTCTAACAAGGCCATATTTTTTCTGGAGCTAAAGCCTCCTTCATGAAATCTAAAAGTCTAACTGGCCTTAGCTTACAGGATTGTAACATATTCTTATGCTGTCTGTGTATCCAACTATAGGTCCATATTACCCATAAGGGAAGCCACTTAAGGATGCAAACAACTCTTACAAACACTGCTGTAACAGATTCACATGCATTTCGGCGGCTGCAGAATTCTTTTGGTGAAAGAAAATATTAACATGGGAAAGTCCAATCAGTCTTCTGTGACAGAATTTGTCCTACTGGGGCTTTCAGGCTACCCAGAGCTTGAGGCCATTTACTTTGTACTGGTCCTATATATGTACCTGGTGATCCTACTGGGAAATGGAGTCATCATCATTGTAAGTATCTATGACTCCCACCTGCATACCCCCATGTACTTTTTCCTCAGTAACTTATCATTCTTGGACATTTGCTACACCAGTTCTTCTATCCCCTTATTTCTCAGCAGCTTCTTAACTTCAAAGAAAACTATTTCCTTCTCTGGGTGTGGAGTACAAATGTTTTTCTCCTTTGCTATGGGAGCCACAGAGTGTGTCCTTCTAAGCATGATGGCGTTTGACCGCTATGTGGCCATCTGTAACCCTCTGAGATACCCCATCATTATGAGCAAGGCTTCATATGTGCCCATGGTCTCTGGGTCCTGGATTGCAGGGGGTGTCAATTCTGTGTTGCAAACCTCTCTTGCAATGCGACTTCCTTTCTGTGGAGATAATGTCATTAATCATTTTACTTGTGAAATCTTGGCTGTCTTGAAATTGGCCTGTGCTGATGTCTCCATAAATGTTCTTAGCATGGTTGTTGCTAATATGATTTTTCTTGTGGTCCCAGTACTTTTCATTGTTGTTTCCTATGTTTTCATTCTCTTCACCATCCTGAGGATTCCTTCTGCAGAGGGAAGGCGCAAAGCCTTCTCCACCTGCTCCGCCCACCTAACAGTGGTGGTTATATTCTATGGAACCATCCTCTTCATGTATGCAAAACCCAAGGCTAAAGACTCTTCTGGTGCGGACAAAGTACAAGTCACAGACAAAATCATCTCTCTCTTCTACGGAGTTGTGACACCTATGCTCAATCCCCTCATCTATAGTTTGAGGAACAAAGACGTGAAGGCAGCTGTGAAGAATATACTGTGTCAGAAATGCTCCTCAGAGGGAAGGTGAATGCTACTTTTTAAAAAAATTCCTTTACTCTGATGGCAGGACTAGTTCTCACCTGGAAATTCCAAAATAAATATAAGAGTTGGTGGTACCATTAATTCCTGAAATCTTCATTTTTCCGTTCTTGGTATTTAAATGTGAGAGAAATCTAAGGTGCACATTTTCCTTTCATGACTGGATTAAGGAGAAAAGGGATGGAAATTTAGGGGTAAAATGTTTCTCTTGCAAACCACCAAGTTCTCACGGATAACAGAATTTAGTTTAACTCTGGAATGATGAGTTCTGTAATGTCTGTAACTGGCTTAACCTCTTATTCTCTATGTGATCAGTTTTCTAGTCTCATATCCTTCTCAGGAAGATAAAGTAGAAAGTGCCTTGTTAGGGGCAGAGTGCTATACAAACTCAACGTTAAATAATTCATAATGGGGTAGTCTTTGCTTATATAGAGGGCAAGGGTGAGCACTTTAGGGCGTTAGGTCCCTGGCCTGTGTCTGTGTCATAGACAGACAAGAGCAGAAAAAGGAAACTATTTTTCCTGAGGCTGATTTTCTTTTGGCTGCAGACTGGCAAGCACACTTCTCTGCAGAGGTGTCTGAAGCAATGTGAGGCTTTGTGCAGATACCCCACTGATGGGGGAATTTGGTCTCTCTTGGGCTTCAATAGATGAGCAGTGGCATCTTTTAGTGAAAACCATTGTTACTGTTAAATGAGAAAAAAATTGCTTAAGTTTCTAAAGAAGTTGATTGCACAGTTCTCTGAGAACATGGTGATAATGGGTTTAGATCGTCACAAATTAGGTATTTTTGCAGTTACATAAATTTCCTGTAGCATATGAGTTTTCCATTCATTCATTTGGTCATTTATGCCTTCACTCAATTATTCAATCAACTGGTATTTACTGAACACCTATTTTGTCTCAGGCATTATGCTGACTATTGGCGATATCAAAAAACTAAGCAACATGGAAATGAAAACCAAAACATGATCTAGGAACATACAGTCTTATGGAATTCAGACTGACACATAACTTGGGGGTCAAAATATTAAAGAATATTCACAGATTTTCCGTCTCCCCTTCATTCTAACCTGAACCCTTTGTTTACATTGATAATATGTTGGGTCTTTTTTTTTTTTTTTTTGAGGAAGATTAGCCCTGAGCTAACTGCTGCCAATCCTCCACTTTTTGCTGAGGAAGACTGGCCCTGAGCTAACATCCATGCCCATCTTCCTCTACTTTAGACATCTACCATAGCATGACGTGCCAAGCAGTGCCATGTCCTCACACGGGATCCAAACCGGTGAACCCTGGGCCGCCAAAGCAGAACGTGCGCACTTAACTGCTGCACCATCGGCCGGCCCTGTATGTTGGGTCTTTATTGGACTGTACAGAGTAATGAGTGGATACGAATTAATTTAAATGGAATAAACTGATCAAAAAAGGGCTTGGATTGTCTCTAAGAAAGAAATAAAAAAGGACAGTTTTAGAGAGAGGAGATAAGGCAATGAAAAAGAAGGCAGTGCGTACTAGAGATTTTGGAGATAGATATGGGAGATATTTAAATAGATAACACAAAAGTAGATCAGAGAAAAGGGAACAAATAAGTAAATGGCCAGCTTTGATGCTGGTGTTCTGTGACTTTTCCTTGGTCACTCTTGAAAATCTCCATAAAGATATGTAGTATACTTTAAGACATTTGGTGATGGATTCCATTTCTTTTACAGTCTCACCATGCTGAGATTGGCCATAAGATTGGTTAACTTAAGTGGGTCACAGACTTAAGTGGATCACAATTACAATGCAGTGCGTTAAGTGCTGTTATGGAGGAATATGTGAAATTTCCCAGGAAAGGAAAGGGCTATTTCTACTTGGCTGAGCTGGGAAAAACAGTTCTCCTAGTGGTCTCGTGTGGAAGAATTTTTCAGACAGAGAATGCGGCATGTGGCAAGATATGAACAACCACTAAGAGTTAAGATTTGTTGGAACTTGGATGTGTTGTTGGGGGTAATGGCAGGGGAGAAGATTGGAAAGGCAGCTTGAAGCCAAATTGTGAGGGCTTCAGATGCTAAGATAAGAAGTCAGTATGTCTATAGGTTTGAGATGATCGCCTTCTGTTCTCTGGAGCCCAGGAGGGTGCAAAAGGGCTACCACACAGAGAAACACATTCCAAGAAGTCAGATCTCTGAGACCAGGGTTCCATATAATACTTTATTTGGAAAAAAGTTTCCTGTTAGGAAAAGTTTTAAAACCGCTGAGGTGGGCAATAGAATCCAGTAAGAGTTATAAGAAAGAGATCGATGCTTCTGGGTTGGTGTTTTATTTATTTTTTAAAGATTGGCACCTGAGCTAACAACTGTTGCCAGTCTTATTAGTTTTTTTAATTCTTCTCCCCAAAGTCCCCCAATACATAGTTGTATATTCCAGTTGTGATGTGCCTCTGGTTGTGCTATGGGGGACGCTGTCTCAGCATGGCCTGATGAGCGGTGCTATGTCCGCGCCCAGGATTCGAACCGGCGAAACCCAGGGCCACCGAAGCGGAGCATGCAGACTTAACCACTCAGTCACAGGGCCAGCCCCATGGGTTGGTGTTTTAGAAAGATCACTTTGGCAGTGGGGAAGATAAAGTGGTATATCTCTTGCTGATACACTCCCAGGACTGTGTCACGTTCCTTGGGCCGCCACTAGCCCCTACCTCGTCCTTTTTCCTGTAGGCTTCAGAGTATCGGGAGCTACCCAGTTCCTTGGAATTTCTATTCCCTTCCTGACTGGTTGTAGAATAAAATTTCTCAAATAAATTTCATGATCCTTTGGGTTAAAGTTTTATTTTAATTAATAAAGGCAACAGAGAAGAAAAAGAAAGTAACATGAATGGGAACATTTCACAGGTTTAGGAAATCTTTCAGGCTTTACCAGAATTGGCTCTGATATACAATACTGACTATATATATTCAATTCTGCATCTTTCCTAGGGCTTGCAGTCCTTTTTCATTAGTGGAAGATCTTCTAAGCTCCTAAGTCTGAGGGAAAAATGCCTCTAATCATGCACTGATGTCTGTTTTGCTCCATGTTGTTTGAGGATAGTATTCTTTAAATTCTTCAGTGGTGTAGAGAGCCATTGTGACTCCTGAATACAAACTTCCTCCTTCATTCTTTCCTTATGTTTCTGTTCCTTCCTTTTAAACTTGGGGTTAAGCTTTACCAGGTGCTTAAAGTATGTTTTTTAAAAAATTATTTTTTATTTTATTATTTTTTTGGGGGGGAAGATTAGCCCTGAGCTAACATCTGCTGCCAATCCTCTTCTTCTTCTTTTTTTTCTTTTTGCTGAGTAAGACTGGCCCAGAGCTAACAGCTAACATTCATGCCCCGCTTCCTCTACTTTATGTGTGAGATGCCTGCCACAGCATGGCTTGACAAGTGGTGCTTAGGTCCGCACCTGGGATCTGAACCAGCCAACCCTGGGCTGCCGAAGCGGAATATGCAAACCGAACTGCTGCGCCACCAGGCTGGCCCCCATAAAGTATGTTTTTATGTCACTGACTAATCCCTACACTCTATAGTATTTGCCCCTCAACTGTTCAGTATTCACATTGCTCTGCATATATTAATTTATGCTTACAAATATATTCACATATGACAATGTAAAGAACATTGCAAAGAGACCTGGAATCAAATCGTATGGACTTGGACAATCTCTGAATTCACTCATTTTCTGAATCTCAGTTTCATAATTGTTGAAATCCAACTTGGGTGGATCACTTGGTCAATGTGAGGTGACTATCCAATGAAGTTCTTTATGTGAAAATGTTTGAAAGCTTAAAAGTACTAGAAAAATGGGAAATATCATTAAATTATGATTTTATTTATTAGTTTCTCAAAAGCAGGGATGAGATCCTTTATTTCTTCTGTGTCCCACTATACTCTGATAATGCACCATATTTTCTATAAGTGCATTTAAGTTTATTATAAGAGCTCAATAAATATAATCCTTATTGCTTAGTTGATTGATTTATTGAAAATTGGCTGATTAAACTGAATATGGAATATAACAGTGAAGAGATGCATTTATCATGCTAGGGCGAATGAAAAGATAACACAATTGAAAATAAAGTTACAGACAAAAATGCTTCTGTTGAGAAAGTGAAAGCTTTGCTCCTACTAAATAGAAGAAGTGAATTTGTGCATGTACCAGACATAATTTGATTTTATGTGCTACTTGGAAGAGTTTATGATACTTTTTAGAGGAAGAAAAACATTCAGAAGTGGTGCTTAAGACATAGTTTTTCACTCAAAGACCCAAAGCCCGGGGTGTGGAAAATCAATGCGTTTTACTAAGGAATGGAAAAGTAAAGACAAATAGGCTTTGCATCTTGCTCTTGAGTACTGTTCCATCCAATGGCAGAAATGGGGTAAACTGAAATAAAACAATTATACGTTGTGATAAAACCTATTATAAAAGTAAAAGCAGTCCTGGTCTGGATGATGAGTATTATTGTGGCCTTTGTCACAGCATAGAGTTGCTTAGTAATAGTGTTGCTCAATTTCTACCAGGCTGGAAAATTGGTGGAGTCTAAGGGTTTCTTTCCTGGTGAGGCGCTAATGAAATGTTTATACATTCTTAGAGATGCATTGCTGTGTCTAGACTTTTTCCTTCCATGCTCCATCCTCCAAAAGCTTCTTTTGGTCAAAACAAATAGAACAGAACATAAATATAATCTCATGAAGATGCTTCTTGGGGGCTGGCCCACTGGCATAGTGGTTAAGTTTGTGCACTCTGCTTCAGTGGCTTGGCGTTCACTGGTTCACATCCTGGGCGCACACCTAACACCTCTCATCAAGCCATGCTGAGGTGGCATCCCACAGAGAAGAACTAGAAGGACTTAAAATTATGACATACAACTACGTACTGGGGCTTTGGGGAGAAAAGAAAATAGGAAGATTGGCAACAGATGTTAGCTCAGGGCCAATCTTCCTCAAAAAAAAAAGGCGGGGGGGAAGCTATTAAAAAAAAAAGAGGGGCTGGCCTGGTGATGCAGTGGTTAAGTTTGGATGGTCAGCTTTGGTGGCCTGGGGTTCACCAGTTCAGATCCTGGTTGCGGACATATGCACCACTTGTCAAGCCATGCTGTGGCAGG